CCGTTATGCTCCGGAGCATCAAGAGTGGCTGGAGCATGTGGGAGACAAAACAGCAGATTGGGCACTCCTGGAGCCAATAGTGTTCTCCTGGGAGGGGGTTCAGGAGCAGCTGGGAGTGGTGAGGAGTATGTAATGTGCCAGGAGCAGTGGGAGGAAAATTTTGGTCTCTAAAAAGTTGAAAAAAATTTTTTCGGGAAAAAATCAAAAAGAAAATCAGGAACTATAGTGCCTTTAAAGTGCTTTCAGGACATATAATTATTTGCAAAATTGAGGAAGAAATGATGGAGAAAAATGGAAAATACTTTCGGAGACCCGAGAAATAATGAGAACTGAATTGATGGGAAAGTCTGAAAATTGAATAGGAAAGTGAGGGGAAGCCTTGTAAGCATTGTTATTTTCTGCTGTTCTGATTTTTCCTGATTGTTCTTGGTCTCACTCCCAGCTGCTCCTGGACCCTCCCAGGAGCTTTCAGGAGCTTCCAGGAGTATTGAGGAGCAGCTGGGAATGAGACCAAGAAGAATCGGGAAAAATCAGAACAGCAGAAAATAACAATGCTACAAGGCTTCCCCTCACTTTCCTATTCAATTTTCAGACTTTCCCATCAATTCAGTTCTTGGGTCTCCAAAAGTATTTTCCATTAGCTGCTCCTGGACCCTCCCAGGAGCTTCCCGGAGTATCCAGGAGTATCCAGTAGCAGCTGGGAGTGAGACCAAGAACAATCAGGAAAAATTAGAACAGCAGAAAATAACAATGCTACAAGGCTTCCCCTCACTTCCCTATCCAATTTTCAGACTTTCCCATCAATTCAGTTCTCATTATTTTTCGGGTCCCCAAAAGTATTTTCCATTTTTCTCCATCATTTCTTCCTCAATTTTGCAAATAATTATATATCCTGAAAGCACTTCAAAGGCACTACAGTTCCTGAATTTTTTTGATTTTTTCCCTAATTATTTTTTTCAACTTTTTAGAAGTCCCTATTTTTCAAATTTTCCTCATTTCCCTCTATATCCCCCCCTCATTCTCCCCCTCATTCTCCCCTCATTCTCCCCCTCATTTCCCCCTCATTTCCCCCCTCATTCTCCCCCATTTCCCCCTCCCCCATATTCTGCCAGCCCGAAAGTGATTAAGTTGCCAGATTAATCATATATTGTTGATGAGCGACACTTGTGATCTCAGAGCTGGACTATGAGTAATGACTCAGTCTCAGCCAATATGCGTGAAGAACTAGATATATTACCTATGAGTAATGACTAGAGGTAATATACATAATATAAGTTACAATGATAAAGCAATGAGGGAATGTAACTAACTAACCTCAGTCTCAGCCAATATGCGTGAAGAACTGAGGGAAAAGGAAATGAATTCAAATGAATGAATATGTCCGTGGCCTGGCACGGATTAGTCCGAAATAATATAAAAGAGAAAAGGTGTTGTGACTAAGTAGTCACGCTACCGCGGGAATGTGGCTGTCCGGGCGAGTTCCTCACCCGGATGTGGGAATGTGGCTGTACGAAAACTCGTCCGGCCTCCCATAGCACACGGTTCCTCCAACATATATCAGGCCATAAATTTTGATTGTGTATTGGTGAGTCTCAGTGTCCTTGATATATAGTATAGTGTTTGATCTAAATGTTAAGCAGTGTCTTGTTGTGTTAGTCTTGTGGTAGGAGGTATTCATGGGGGATCTTCCCTCTTTTTTTCCTTTTCATTTTCAAATGCTCCAGGAGCTCCCAGAAGCTTCTCACCCCTATACACTTTGAAGCATTTAAATTGTATTTGCTGGATATGTTTGTGCACAAAGCAATGCTCCAGGCCCTCCTGGGAGTGCCCTGGAGTACCTAGCCAACTCCGGAGGAAATGGGCTGTTCCTGGACCGGCCAATCTCCTCCTGATTCTCCCAGTGCTCTCGATACTCCGGAGCACTCAGGAGCATAACAATTTTTTGCTGATGATCGGAGGCGGAAGATGATGACTTGGAAATAGAACTAGGCACCAGAGCCTGCAGATTATCCTCAACAATTTGAGACCCCAAGTGGCATCGAAGTTGCGGTCGGGATATCCAGTCCAGTTAAAATTCTTGATATTTATCAGAATGATGGGGGGAGCTTGGCAACGTCTACGGAGCAGAGAGGCAAAGATTTGAGAAGCTCTGTCGGACTTGATCCTATTGCTGAGTGTACTGCAGCTAGGCGGCGGAGCATATCCATACTCACACCAAAGCTTCGTGCCTGAGATGTGCGCTTGTATGTAGTGTCTGTGCGCAATCGAGTAACACACATGTATTGGATGGTTAGCCATTCAATGGCAAGAGGTTCCCAAATCGAGCATCTCCAGTTGAAAGCCACAGCCATGCCAAGCACTTGAGATCCGAGCCGGATCCCACAAAGGCTCCAGGGGTCAAGCCCGTTCTCTGTCACTGTCCAGTCAACTGTGCGCTGCGAGCGGACTGAGTGTATGAACATCAGCGCGAGTCTCGGCTTGCTGTACTTGCTCAGCCCGGGGGCGTTGGGTTCAACACCTCCTAGATAGACCCACTATGAAAGCTGGCCAATGTACACGAGTCCGCTCCTAGTTATTCTCTACCTCTTCATCCCAGTATCGTCCACTCTCAATCACTATGTGCCCTCCTATAAACCTGTGGCGCGGTATGGACGCTGCGTGACACCCCTCGGTGGAACATCTCCATTCTACCCCGTCATATTTTACAGACCAGGGATCCTACACAAATTCCTAGGTTCTGCGCATCAAATTGGGGTCTTACGTACCCCTCTCAATATTCATGTGCATGATTTCCTCCATTTTTACCGTCTCTCACACTCCCTGTAAATTAGCCCAGTGGTAGATTTACCTGTTCAGGTATCCGAGTGCGGACCTTATATAATGCCCGATGAGAGGCTAAGTGTTCATTCATGAGGCGCAGGTCCACAGGTAATCGGATAATCAGGATTGGTCATCATGAATAGGGCATTGAGATGACGAAAGGAAATGATAATGTCAATTCAACATGTCAAAAGGAGCAATTACATGCATATACCAAGAGCCCGTTAATATGTAGTAAACTCTGAACAGGTTCGCCTCCGATCGCTAAAAGTTAAAAATTAGTCAAGTTAGAAATTATTATTGGCAGTTGCGATCCTTGTATATGTTCAGCAAACGTGGTCGTCATACCACGCAAGTGCTAAATGGAGGGGGGTCCAAGTCCGTCTAAATTGATGAATGCGATCATCCCTCCCTCTCCACCAATGCTAACATGATTACCGTGTTCCGCGATTGGACAGCTGGGCTTGAAGTAGTCGGGTAGCCAACAGATGTGCAGGGCAAGGTTTTCGCGCTTGATGCAAAGAGCGTTATGACCAAGAAAGAGATGGGTGGGTGAAGATTTGTGGAAGGATGTTGAAATTGGGTTGGATAGGTCGCTTAATTTTGGAAAGCTGAAATGTTTTGTCTCTTTCTGACCTCGGACGCGAAGTGTTAAGGCATCGGTGGAAAATAGCATTTGGTGGGGACGAAAGATCTTATTGAGCTGTCTCTGCCCAATGCAACTCCTGTCGGCAATGTCCCAGGCACGCACTCTGCCATCCTTGGAGGCCGAAACAAGATGGCGTCCATCAGGCGAAAATTCCACACAGGATATGGTGTCAACATGACCTTTCGCTGCCTTTGGCCCTCGAGTGGGTAATTCCATCGCTGCACCCCAGACATGTACAGTGCCATCCAGAGATGCCGAGGCCAGATAACAACCATCTGGCGAAAAATTCACGGACCAAACCATATTAGTATGCCCTTTCAGCTTTCGAAGAGGTGCTCCTGTTGCCGCATCCCAGATGCGCACTGTTTTGTCGTCTGAGGCCGAGGCCAGATGATGGCCATCCGGCGAGAAATCCAAGGACCTGACATGAGCGGTATGTCCCTTCAGCTCTTGAAGCAGGACTCCTGTTGCCACATTCCAAACATGTATGGTCATATCCGACAAGGCTGAGGCCAGATAACATCCATCTGGCGAAAACTTCACAAAATAGACGCTGGAGGCATGTTCCTCCAGTGTTCGAAAAAGCGCTCCTGTCGATGCGTCCCAGATACGCACGTTTCTATCATCTGAGGCTAGATAACGCCCATCTGGTGAAAAGGAAATGGACAGGGCAGAGATATTATCATTCTTCAATTCCCGGAGGGGCACCCCTGTTACTGTATCCCAAACTCGCGCAGTGCCATCGTACGAGGCCGAGGCCAGATGAAGGCCATCAGGGGAAAATGTCACAAATCTCACCACGTCAGTATGCCCCTTCAGTTCTCGAAGGCATGCTCCCGTTACCGCGTCCCAGAGACGCACAGTACAATCATCCGATGCCGAGGCCAGATGAATGCCATCTGGTGAATATGCAACGGAATTGGCCCCACCAGTATGTCCCTTCATTTCCCGAAAAAGTGCCTTCGTTGCCGCATCCCAGATGCGCACAACACCATCCCTATAGGCTGAGACTAGATGACAGCCATCTGGAGAAAATGCCGCAGAGCGGGGTTCACTTGGGCTGTGGATTATCCCCGGTTGCGGTGACCATGGTTGGCTACTGTCCATTACATGAGAAATAATCCGGCATTTAACGACCCACTTCGTCGGGAATGTTGCACCCAATGCGCTATCCGAAGGAACAAACGGATGGCTACATCAAAGTATTGATAAGGACGAGGTCGCTAATGCAGCCCGGGATCGCTCGACCAGATGGCGCAAGCTGCGAATTACGTGGCATATACTGCTGACGGCTTTGGCATCGAACCCCTGAAAAACACAGGTGAGCAATGAACCAATAGTCAAATTTTCAACTTACAAGCCATTGTTCTAGTTTTCTCATGCCTCGGCATGCTTGGTCAATTTCACCCATGATTCCCATTGCCGCAATCCAGTGAAGAAGCGCCGGGACAGCGCCGGAAAGGGCCTTCATTATTTCATCATCGTGGGGCTCGTCCAAAGTACAAAGGAGAGTGACCCAATGACGACACACAAAGTTCAGCTGCGTCGTCATCAGCCACTCAAACTCAGGTTGGAGATCAGGAATTTCTGCATCTAGTTGGAAATGCCATAGCGTTGGCAACTGATCCAGCACTGCACATTGCCCAAGCAGCTCCAATGCGAAAAGCACTGTGTCTTTCCCCGGAGAGAGCTCAAAAAATGGATCCAGGTCACTTTTGAGCAAATCATAGGAAGGGCGATGCAGTGCAAGAGCATCTTGCAGCTAGTGGATAGATTAGACAGTTCACGACTCCGACTCCAGTGTGATCCACATACAGATGATTCCAAGAGGTGTATGATACTCGATATTGGAGTGGTGAGATTATCTTGAAGTTGTTCCCATGATGGGAGGATCTGAACTAATTTACTAGAAAACAGGAAGTTAGCGGGAGTTGCATAAAATAGGCCGTTCACAATTAATTTAATAACTCGGTGAAATCGTTTGGGAAGATCCGTGCGCCTTGGGTCCATGTAGGTATTCGTGTAATTTCCGTTGCAATGCGGCAAGGAGAGCTTGAGTGGATGTGGAGATTTGGAATGCGTTGGGTGGGGAACTGTGATAACCGGACTGATAGCTCAAACTAGATCAGTGACGGTGAATGACGGCATGCAGGCTATTCTCTCACATGATGCTGTTTTACAGTATCGAGGACAGACTTGACAGCCTTTCTTAGCCTTGAATCTACCATTAAATCAGCGAATTTTATGATTGTCTCTGGATTGGCATTAATGTCTTTGGCAATGTGCGAATATGTCAGAACTGTGATGCGGTCTCGTCTCTCAGCACCGATTGTGGGATGGTTAAGAGACCCTCTCGCATACTTTGCCCCGAACCTCCGCAGCAACATTTCCTGAATGACGGAAGCGAAAAACCAACAATTTTCCTACATGCAGTTAGTGGATCACTGATGAGGACACCTGGTCGGACATTGATGCTTACTTTGGTTAGCTTGTAACCAGGAGATTCTGCTGCGATTGCGTACAGAACTTGCGCAGCCGCGACCAGAGGAACGGGAGTGGGAAAGATCATGATGGCCTCTACGCCCGACTTCTTATTAGTGAAGTCAAGGAGGTGGTCGAGTCTACCAGAAACAGCAGCCTATCGAGTAGTACTGCCGCTTAGCTGCGGTAAAGACATCGAAGAGTCCGTTACATACCGTATCTATCGCGTGTGACGTTCCCAAATCCCGTACTCCAAACAACCACAACGGGACTTTGTGGTCCCGTCTGCGATCCAACCGAAGATAGAATTCCCTTCCGTCGGCTCGAGTGACATGCAGGATGAGAAATCGATGCGACACCCCTTGAAGATCGCCATATCGTTGGATGGACACGATCCTGGCATTAGCAGCACGACGACTGTTGAATAAGCTTTCGCAGAACGTTCGGACAGAAAAAATTCGATATGGCTTCGAGTCCAAGCATTCGGCAAAGAAAGCGCCTGCCGATGCAATGCTTGCAACTTTCTTCCTTAAAGACGATGTAAAAGATGGGGCGATTGTGGATGAACCATCGGATAAAGTGGGTGTTGACCAGGGAAATGGGATGCTAAGTCGGTCACGAAGCGTTTTAGAAGATGTGTCATCGGGTAGGGGAGGCTCGAGTGAGGGCTCGATTCCCTCATCAAGCTTTAAAACTCGGATGAGTGAGGATTCAAGGCATCATAGTATTGATTCTTACTTCGAAGAGGAAATCGTCGACCGAGGCTGGTTCTGGGAAAGCAGGAGGCTCGGTCGCTACTGGCACGAAGCTTGGCGAAGTCAAGCTTGAAGCGAAGGAAGGAATCGTGTCATGGAAATATCCTTCGGCGGCGCTACGCCGAGACGGTAATAACACAGCGATCGCTTCTGATAAGAGGTCGATGGCTTGAACAAGAAGGACCCAAGGCTCTGCAAATAGCTGACTCACTATCGACGGAATTGGTAGCATTTTCGGTGGCATTTCCAGCGCCAGCAACAACATTTCCGGAGTCCTGGTGGTTTGGCGTTGTTGCAGCGGACGTAATAGAGGTCTGGGCCGAGCCTTCGTCCTCCGGAAGAACCAATGTCGGAACGTTCATGTCTCTAGATAGAAGAGATCGAAGGTGGAAGATGACTTGGAAATGGAACTAGGCGCGCGCTAGGCTTGTCAGCATTGTGACAAAGCCATCACCGTTGGGAGCCGCAGCGGAGGAAAAAAAGAGCAAGGTATCAACCTACTGCAAATTATCTGAGACCTTAAGTTGCGTGGCGTTGAAGCCGTCCGTCGCCGAGGTGTCCGATCCCGTCAAAATTATCTATCAGGAATGGTGGGGGAGATCAGCAATGTCTACGAAGCAGAGGCGAAGACGTGCGGCAAAGGTGGGGGGGTATTAGGGAAATGACCACGTGGATGCAGGCAGGGAAAGAAGCTCTTCATTTGCTTGTGAAGGTTGGACTTAATCCCATTGTGGAATAGTACTGTGTGTACCGAAAAGGTACAGATGGGCGGCGGAGCAGATGCATACCCACACCATGACTCCTCAACGGTTCATGAGGACGCCCGAGATATGCGCTTGCATGTAGTTTGGTGCAATCGAGCAAGACATGTATCGAACGGCCATTGGCAAGAGGTTCCCAAATCGAGCATCCCCAGTTGAAGGCAATTGAAACCACAGCCTCGGGCAGGTCCGTCGGCCCTGGACCCAAATAACACCCAACAACTAACCGCAACGTTAGCTGGAGGATTTGTTGTGCGCACTGAGCACGACATACCATTGTTCATGTTCTAGTTCTTCGTTTCAGTATCGTCCGTCATGTTGTACAGCGTCATGTAAGCCTGAGGCATGTCGTAGCTTAGATGCCGCTCTTCCTCCTGTCTGGGGCCGCCCTCCCGTTCGAAGCAGTTGCGTTTCGATTTGATTCTATATCGTGCTCCCCCTTCTCAGGTGGAATCTGCCAAACAAGGGCCACTCTCCATCAGACTCTCCATGCGCTTTCTTTTTCTAACGTTCAAGCATGATTCTCCTTTGTCATCAACTAAGCGTGTTACGGAGGCGGCGTGGGATTCGAACTATTAATGTGGCTGTATTACCTAGAAATGGATCACCTCCTCTCCTGACGTCTTTTCCTACTGAAAACAGTAAGCGTACCTTGTAGGCGCTCGGCAAGGCTTAATTGGGCCACGCTGATCAGTTGTCCCAAACACTCACCAACATCGGCTCGGACTCGTGGATTACGTTGGAGTAGCATCGGCACTATCGGGGTATGGCTTAGGCAGGACAGCCTCTACTAAAGTAGAGGTATGGCTGACTAGACTGCGGTGCATGTACGCATGTTCTCAGATGCTCACTACTTCCGGTGCGCCAAGACACAATCCCATCGGCGGGGAGTAGAGTGGCGCTACAATGGCCCTTCTGGTTATCGAACTCGGTCAGCGTTTGTCAGCTCCCTTAAAGTTGACACTCTCCACGGTTGCTCTGTTGGACTGACAACACGCTGTTCTAACCACATCAAGTTACTATTGAAATAGAGGTTCTCTCTCGCGGTCCTTGTGTGCCAAGTCGCTCTGGCCATGACTTTGGCGCAATGCTGGAAACCACGACTAACAGGGTGGCTAAATCATTCTTGATTCGTTCAGATTTCGACATCCCTCCAGTCCATGCCGCGTCCATGTGCAGTCAGGCGATTCCTCATGACATGCCACACAAGTTACAATTTGACCCTTTCTGCCTCTACACCCCCCTTGGTGAACGTTTGCACAACATTGACCCAGATCCGGGGCTCAAAATATTCACACCATGAATGTCCATACGCCTCTGAGGGCACACTCCCTGGCACCTTGCCACTTGGATCGATTGCGATGCGTTGTGCATGTTTGATATATCTGGTGAGATAGTTAGATTCTGCGTAGTGAATGATGCGATCTTTCGTGCCGTGGATGACTAGGATGGGAATTGATGATGGTATGGAGGGGAGGAGAGGGCGAGTGTCAGTGTTGCGGACCTGAAACGGCAATAACATCAAGATCGAGTACCAAGAGAAAGCGGGTTCGCATACCGATAAAGCCTGGCGAGCTGCACGGAAATAACAAGATGAAGATGAGTCGCCCTCATGCATGAGCATACGACACAACTCTACACACCAATTTGTTTCGAAGGTCTTTTAAGGATCATTGAAGGCAAGAGTTTTTCCACTTTCGCTTTTCCTTCAGGTGTCCTTAGAAAATCTACATCGTAGCCAAGCTCAACCATAGGTCTCGCAATCGCCATTTTCCTCTCATCCGTAAGTTGTCCATCGACCGGAGGAGGTTTGGCAAGATATTCAATGAACTCCGGGTCACCGCGAGGAATTTTTGTCGTTGTAGCTGCGAGAAGAGCATGGTGTATCCGGAAAGGAACTGCACTTGGTGTGGTAGAAGCGAGGATGAGGATTTGTTGGAGAATAACGCCCCCCATCGACCCGCCGCATGCATCTATGCCTCTGAATCCGAGATGATCGATGAGGGCGATTGCATCTTCTGCCATCGATAACGTGGTAATTTCTTCCCGCTTGCTCGTTTTCACTATAGAAGCTCCGAAATCTCTACATGAGGCCGGTCTGCATTCGTGGGCCACCAAGTTGTTCATATAATCCATACCGGTGATCGAATACCAATACTAACACAGTGTATGAGAGCGAGCAAAATGCCATTAGAAAATATTAACAGCCCACCAGGTCTCAATTTACTGAGGGGTATGCTGAGAGTTTCCCAATCTTCATATCGCCCCGACATGCCATTAATGAGGACAATGGGACGGACACCTCTCTTCAGGTGATCGGCTCCTAGTATCTCGTACCCCAACTGCGCTCCATTCGCAAGAGGAAAAACCTGGGGTGTCATGATGTTGGTGGAATAACCGGACCCCGGCAAGGCTATTCCCGGATATTCCCCTGCCTCACCGAATCATGTGGCCGACAGCTGCTGTCAGCAGAGCTGTCGGTGTCAAAGCTCCGAAAGCAGGCACCCTACATCAAGACCACGTAGTGGGATGACTGGTAAGTGCGAACATGATACAAATGCTCGTGTCGGTATATACTCTACTGGTTTGGCCTGCTCTTAAATTCGACCGTCTAACGTGTGAAAACCGTGAATTGTGAATCGTGTGCCCAAGATAAGGCCCCAAACAACATGGAAACCCTGAGAATTTACTCCTTTGCCTCCCTATCCATAATCTCTTTCATCTTTTTCTATCCTAGGCGGATGCTGTCCTTTCCTATCTTCGGACAGGGGCAGTGATTCTGGCCCAGTATCACTACCCTCAGGGCCAACCTCCTCTCCAACCATCCTCCCAATATTCAGACGGAGATAATCCTTCATGGAAACTCTTCGCACCAGGTATTGGAAAAGCACAGTGGTACACATGGAGAGTAATATCCAACCAATGAGTACAGCAGCGTTGAGGCCCAAGTGGTTCTTGGTGTTGAAGATGAGAGTACGGGTCGCTTGTGCAATTTCTTTCGGTAACTCACTTCATACCACCCTCTACTTCTTCGTTTCAGTATCGTCGCTACTCTGGCCCACAGCGCGCCATCATATAAGTAAATGCATGTCGTAGCTTGGATACCGCTCTGCATGCCCTTCCTCCTGTCTGGGCCACCCTCCTGTTTGAAGTGGTTGCGTATCTGCAACGCGATGACGTTCGATCTGACTCTGACCTAACATCTATATCATACTCCCCCTTCCCAGGTGAAATCCGCCAAACAAGACGAGGGACCACTCTCCATGTGCTTTCTTCTTCCAACGTTCAGTAGCAATGGTGTATGCGTCCTTCTCATTCTCCTAAGTCATCGTGAATCATGAACTAAAGTGTGCTGTAGCAGAGACGGCGTTGATTGTGATGGAATTTGAACCAAAGTGGCATCATTCTCTGGACGGGCATCTTTTCAAATATTTCAATGACCAAATAATAGGAGCCCAATACTCTCATCTTTATCCCCCGATTGCGCCCGCGTGAACGGCTCAATATCCATGAGCGTGCAAGGAAGAGGTGTCCGGGCGACACAAGGAAATAATGATGTCAACTCAATAGGTCAAAAGGAGCGATTACATTCATATGCCAAGAATCCAATCCGGGGCCTGATAATAGGATGCCAGTAAACTCTCGGCTCCGATTGCTATAAGTTAAAATCAAAGACACCACTTAAGTTAGAAACCAGTATTGGCAGTTACAATCCTTGTATATGCCCCGAAAAATTAAAACCAACGTGGTCATACCACGCAAGTGCTAAATGGAGGCCGGGGGTACAAGTCCATTTAAATTGATGAATGCGATCATCCCTCGCTTTCCACCAATGCTGACATGGTTACCGTGTTCCGTGATTGGACAGCTAGGCTTGAAGTAGTCGGGTAGCCAACAAATGTGCAGGGTAAGGTTTTCGCGCTTGATGCAAAGAGCATTATGATCAAGAAAGAGATGGGTGGGTGAAGATGTGTGGAAGGATGTTGAAATTGGGTTGGATAGGTCGCTTAACTTTGGAAAGCTGAAATATTTTGTCTTTTTCTGACCTCGGATGCGGAGTGTTAAGGCGTCGGTGGAAAATAGCATTTGGCGGGGACGAAAGATCTCATTGAGCTGTGTCTGCTCAATGCAACTCCTGTCGGCAATGTCCCAGGCACACACTCTGCCATCTTTGGAGGCCGAAACAAGATGGCATCCATCAGGCGAAAATTTCACACAGGATATGGTGTGAACATGACCTTTCGTTGCCTTTGGCCCTCGAGTGGGTGATTCCATAGTTGCATCCCAGACACGTACAGTGTCATCAAAAGATGCCGAGGCCAGATAACGACCATCTGGCGAAAATTTCACGGAGGAAACCCCACCAGTATGCCCTTTCAGCTCTCGAAGAGGCGCTCCTGTTGCCACATCCCAGATGCGCACTGTGCTGTCGTTTGAGGCCGAGGCCAGATGATGGCCATCCGGCGAGAAATCCAAGGACTGGGTGTGTTCCTTCAGCTCTTGAAGCGGGACTCCTGTTGCCACATTCCAAACATGTATGGTATTATCCGATAAGGCTGAGGCCAGATAACATCCATCTGGCGAAAACTTCACAAAATAGACGGTGGAGGCACGTTCCTTCAGTATTTGAAGAAGTGCTCCTGTTGATGCATCCCAGATACGCACGTTGCCATCATCTGAGGCTAGATAACGCCCATCTGGTGAAAAGGAAACGGACCAGACAGATATATCATGGTTCTCCAATTCCTGGAGGGGCTCCCCTGTTGCTGTATCCCAAACCCGCACAGTGCGATCGTCCGAAGCCGAGGCCAGACGAAGGCCATCAGGGGAAAATGTCACATATCTCACCACGCCAGTATGTCCCTTCAGTTCTCGAAGGCATGCTCCCGTTACCGCATCCCAGAACTGCACAGTGCGATCATCCGATGCTGAGGCCAGATGAATGCCATCTGGTGAATATGCAACGGAATTGGCCTCACGAGTATGTCCCTTCATTTCCCGAAGAAGCGCTCTCGTCGCCGCATCCCAGATGCGCACAATGCCATCCCTACAGGCTGAGACTAGATGACAGCCATCTGGAGAAAATACCACAGAGCGGGGTTCACTTGGACTGTGGATTATCCCCGCTTGCGGTGACCATGGTTGGTTGCTATACATTCCACAAGAAACAATACGGCATTCAACAGCCCACTTCTTTGGAAATGTTGCATCCAACGCGCTACCTGATGGAATAAATGGATGGCTACTTCCAAGTATAGATAAGGACGAGGCCGCTAATGCACTCCGGGATCGCTCGACTAGACAGAGCAGGTCGCGAATTACATGATTTATACTATTGACTGCTTGAACGCCGACCTTCAAAACGCCAAAGTGAGCCATACGCTAGTATCCAAGTAATTTTTGACGCACTAGCCATCGCTGTAGTTCTTTCATGCTTTGGCACGCTTGGTCAATTTCACCCATGATCCCCATTGCTGCAATCCAGTGGAGAAGCACTGGGACAGCGCCGGAAAGGGCCTTCATTATTTCATCATCGTGGGGCTCGTCCAACTTACAAAGGAGAGGAATCCAACGATGACACACAAACTTCAGCTGCGTCGTCATCAGCCTCTCAAACTCATGTTGGAGATCAGCAATTTCTGCATCTGCTTGGAAACGCCATAGTATTGGCAACTGATCCAGCACTGCACATCGCCCAAGCAACCCCAACGCCCAAAGCACCACGTCGTTCCCCGGACGGGCCTTGGAAATTGAATTGAGGTCACTTTTGAGCGAATCATACGTGACTGAGGATCGGCGATGCACTACAAGACCTTCCCGCAGCTAGTGGATAGATTAGACGGTCCATGACTCCGACAGCGTGATTCACATACAGATGATTCTAAGAGGTGTATGATACTCGATATTGGAGCGTCTTCTTGAAGTTGTTCCAATGATGGGATGATCTGAACTAATTTACTGGAAAACAGAAAGTTAACAGGAATTTCGCATACAGTGCCGTTCAGATTTACTAACTCGGTGAAATCGTGCGAGAAGATCCGTGCGCCTTTAATTCCATAGATTCCATGTAGGTGTTCGTGTAATGTCCGTTGCAATACAGCAAGGAGTGCTTGAGTGGATGTGGAGATTTGGAATGCATCGGGTGGGGAAGTATGATAAGCGGGCTGATGGCTCGGACAGGATCAGTTACACTGAGTGCGACACGAGGGCCATTCTCTTACAAGGTGATGTTTTATAGTATCAAGGACGGACTTTATAGCCTTCCTTAGTTTTGAGTCGTCCATTGAATCAGCGAAGCTTAGAATGGTCTCCAATTTGTTATTTATGTCTTTTGTAATGTGCGAATACGTCAGGACTTTAATCCGTTCTCGTCTCTCAGAACCGATTGTGGGATGGTTAAGAGACCCTCTCTCATACTTTGCCCCAAACATCCGCACTAACATTTCCTGGGCGGTGGAGGCGAAAAACCAACAATTTTCCTATATGGAACTAATGGTCAACTGATGATGAAACAGGGCCGGACACCGACGCTCACTTTGGTTAGCTTGTAATCAGGAGCTTCCGCTGCGATAGCATACAGAATTTGCGCAGCCACGATCAAAAGAGCAGGAGTAGGGAAGACCATGACAGCCTCTACGCCGGACTTGGTGTTGGTGAAATCAAGAAGGTGGTCGAGTCTGCCAGAAACAGCAGCCTATTGAGCAGTACCGCCTCTCAGCTGCGGTAAAGACATCAAAGGGTTCGTTACATACCGTATCTATCGCGTGTGACATTCCCAAATCCCGTACTCCAAACAACCACAACGGGACTTTGTGGTCCCGTCTGCGATCCAACCGAACATAGAATTCCCTTCCGTCGGCTCGAGTCACATGCAGGATGAGGAATCGATGCGGCACCCCTTGAAGATCGCCATATCGTTGAACGGACACAATCCTGGCATTTGCAGCACGACGACTGTTGAATAAGCTTTCGCAGAACGTTCGGACAGAAAAGATTCGATATGGTTTCGAGTCCAAGCATTCGGCGAAGAAAGCGCCTGCCGACGCAATGCTTGCAACTTTCTTCCTTAAAGACGATGTGAACGATGCAGAAGATGTAAAAGATGGGGCGATTGTGGATGAACCATCGGATAAAGTGGGTGTTGACCAGGAAAATGGAACGCTAAGTCGGTCACGAAGCGTTGTAGAAGATGTGGCATCGGGCAGAGGGGGCTCGAGTGAGGGCTCGATTCCCTCATCAAGCTTTAAAATTCGGATGAGTGAGGATTTAAGGCATCATAATGTTGATTCTTACTTCGAAGAGAAAATCGTCGACCGAGGCTGGTTCTGGGAAAGCAGGAGGCTCGGTCGCTGCCGGCACAACGCTTGGCGAAGTCGAGCTTGAAGCGAAGGAAGGAATCGTGTCATGGAAATATCCTTCGGCGGCGCCACGCCGAGTCGGTAATAACATAGCGACCGCTTCTGATAAGGAGGTCGATGGCTTGAACAAGAAGGACCCAAGGTTCTGCAAATAGCTGACTCACTATCGACGGAACTGGTGGCATTTTCGGTGGCATTTCCAGCGCCAGCAACAACATTTCCGGAGTCCTGGTGGTTTGGCGTTGTTGCAGCGGACGTAATAGAGGTCTGGGCCAAGCCTTCGTCCTCCGGAAGAACCAATGTAGGAACGTTCATGTTTCTAGATAGAAGAGATCGGAGGTGGAAGATGACTTGGAAATGGGACTAGGCGCGCGCTAGGCTTGTCAGCATTGTGACAAAGCCATCACCGTTGGGAGCCGCAGCGGAGGGAAAAAAGAGCAAGGTATCAATCTACTGCAAATTATCTGAGACCTTAAGTTGCGTGGCGTTGAAGCCGTCCGTCGCCGAGGTGTCCGATCCCGTCAAAATTATCTATCAGGAATGGTGGGAGAGATCAGCAATGTCTACGAAGCAGAGGCGAAGATTCGAGAAGACGTGTGGAAAAGGTGGGGGGTATTAGGGAAATGACCACGTGGATGCAGGCAGGGAAGAAGCTCTTCATTTGCTTGTGAAGGTTGGACTTAATCCCATTGCGGAATATTACTGAGTGTACCGAAGAAGGTACGGATGGGCGGCGGAGCAGATGCATACCCACACCATGACTTCTCAACGGTTCATGAGGACGCCCGAGATATGCGCTTGCATGTAGTTTCCGGGTGCAATCGAGCAAGACATGTATCGAACGGCCATTGGCAAGAGGTTCCCAAATCGAGCATCCCCAGTTGAAGGGGGCAGGTCCGTCGGCCCTGGACCCAAATAACACCCAACAACTAACCGCAACGTTAACTGGAGGATTTGTTGTGCGCACTGAGCACGACATACCATTGTTCATGTTCTACTTCTTCGTTTCAGTATCGTCCGTCCTGCTGTGCGGCGTCATGTAAGCCTGAGGCATGTCGTAGCTTAGATGCCGCTCTTCCTCCTGTCTGGGGCCGCCCTCCCGTTCGAAGCAGTTGCATTTCGATTTGATTCTATATCGTGCTTCCCCTTCTCAGGCGGAATCTGCCAAACAAGACGACGCAAGGGGCCACTCCATGCGCTTTCTTTTTCCAACGTTCAAGCGTGTGTTCTTCTCATTCTCCTTAGTCATCGACTAACCGTGTGCGGAGGCGGCGTGAGATTCGAACCGATGTGGCTGTTTTCCCTTAGGCTTCAGGCTCTAGACGGATCACCAGCTCTCCTGACGTCTTTTCCTACTGAAAGCGGTAGTGGTCCTTTGCATACCACGCCGATCAGCTGTCCAAAACATCGGCTCTGAGTGGTTCACCCGAGTAGCATCGACATTATCAGCGCATGGCTGCAGTGTACGCGTATTTTGAGATGCTCGCTACTTCCGGTGCACCATGACACATCTCCATTGCTGCCGGCTCCACTCGGCGGTTGCAGTGGCGTTGAGTGGCGCTACAATTTGGCTACAATGGCCTTTCTGGTTATTGGATCCGACCTCGGTTAGCGTTTGCCAGATTGATATACACTCTCCAGGGTTGCCCTGTTGGACTGGCGACATGCTGTTCTGACCACGCCAAAGGATGAGGAGAGTGTGGCTTCACACCCCAAGATCCCTCCAGTCCATGTCGCGTCCATGTACGATCCGGCGATTCCTCATGACATGCCACACATATTACAATTTGACCCTCTCTTCCTCTACACCCCCCTTTGGTGAATGTTTGTATAACATTAACCCAGACCCGGGGCTCAAAATATTCATACCATGAATGTCCATACGCCCCCGAGGGCACACTCCCTGGCACCTTGCCACTTGGATCGATTGCGATGCGTTGTGCATGTTTGATATGTCTGGTGAGATAGTTAGATTCTGCGTAGTGAAAGATACGATCTTTCGTGCCGTGGATGACTAGGATGGAAATTGATGATGGTATGGAGGGGAGGAGAGGGCGAGTGTCAGTGTTGCGGACCTGAAATGGCAATAACATCAAGGATCGAGTACCAAGAGAAAGCGGGTTTGCATACCAATAAGGCCTGGCGAGCTGCACGACAATAACAAGATGAAGATGAGTCGCCCTCATACATGAGCATACGACACTGACTCTACACACCCCCAAGATAAGGCCCCCAGCAATATGTAAATCCTGAGAATTTACTCCTTCGCCTCCCTATCCATAATCTCTTTCGTCTTTTCTATTCTAGGCGGATGCTGTCTCTTTCTATCTTCGGACAGGGGTAGTGACTCTGGCCCAGTATTGCCACCCTCAAGACCAACCTCCTCCTCTCCAACCTTCCTCCCATTATTAAGACTGAGATAATCCTTCATGGCAACTCTTCGCACCAGGTATTGGAAAAGCACGGTGGTACACATGGAGAGTAAGATCCAACCAATGAGTACAGCGGCATTAAGGCCCAAGTGGTTCTTGGTGTTGAAGATGAGAGTACGGGTCGCTTGACCTACGTTACTGTCCGTGAAGGGTTTATCAGTGATAAGCTGGAGGACTGAAAAGAGGACGACGGTCATACTAGATAGGAAAACCATATCCGTATTTGTAAATCCACGGCTCGAGAACAATGGGGAGAGATGCGGTGGAAACATTCGAAATGATCTAATTATTCCCATTCCCACCAATGAGAAAGATAACACCGAATCAGAGAAGAGCCACTTACGTATACCACCAAAAAATACGTGATGAATCGTTGTGTGAGCAATGTCACCATCGCTTCAGTCCCAAGTCCAAGTGCCGTCATGCTCAAATAAGTGATCGCCCAAAAACAAAAGTAGCCCCCCGCGTACGAATACCTATAATTGACGAACCAGGGAAGCGGCGGAGTAGCGGGGAAATGTTGATTCGAGGCAATCATAGACGAATGTGGGAGTTAAAGTGAGTGATGTTAAATATGATAAAACATACTTCGCTCCAAAGGGGACTTAAAACGCCAATGAAACCATCGAATAAGCAAGAGACAGAGGGATATAAAGTAGGAACCGCAATTCTCAAGATAAGAAGTTCTTTGATTTTAAGGTACGGTTCGATTGCTTGACGGGCAGCGTAGCCTGCCATGGTCTGATAATGAAAACGTCAACGAGATCGGTAAAAGGGGAATAGAATGGTCACGAACGATTGTAAAGGCAAAGACAATGACTAAAATGGACCCCACGAGCGTTAGTGCCGAAGCAACAGGAGTACTGCATCAAAGCTCAAATGAAAAAAACCGGGAAATGAGGAAAGGTGGAGATGAATAACTGACCTATAAGGTCTCAAATTGACCATCGTAAACCCAACGCTCGCACTCAATGTTTGTGGAGCTCTCGCAACATTTCCCATCATTGTCCCATTCGCACCATAATTCCCAAGGAATTCTCCAACACTCACAACCCCAAACCGACTTATAGTGGAAACCAATAATGATTGTGTATAAGGAACGATGAAATTGGCAGAGGCAAGTTCGTTTCGAGCTTGGGTGTAATAGACTGTTATGATGGCGGAGGAGTTGTATGTACTGTCGCCCGTTAGACGGGCGAGTGTTAAATTCTGGGAAGCCAGTGGTTGTACTGTTGCATAGTTTGGTGACGGTGACGTCAGTGTTCATGGTACATTTACACCAGGGAAAACTAAACATAAAGGGGGAGGAAAACGCACCAACAACGGCTACCCAAACTTTCTCCTCCAAGACCCCTCTCTGGATCTCTTGATCTTCCCACCGGTCACCGGCGATTGGTATACTCCATCCCAACTTAGCCTTCGTCTTCGACCTTATGTTCTCCTCAAAAGCATTCTGGAAAAGAGGCCGATTTCTCCCTTTGTTCCGTTCGAGTAATAGTCTTTGTTTATAAACCAGGAGGAGAGCTTGTAGGAGTAGGAACGTTGGTGCGCCAAAGAGCCAAAGAAAAAGGGTCTGTGAGTCGGAATAGCGGGAAGGACGGAGATCTCAGATTTTAAACGGAGTCAAGAGAAGGGAGGGGAGCATACACCGCTATCCACATGACGAAGATGAGAAGTACGACGGTCGCCGCTATACCTTTCATGTATATTTGACGCTGCATCGCAACTTCGGGCGACCAGACTACGGCGAGATGGAAATTATGATCAAAGATTAAGCGAAATGGACGAGGCCAATGATGCAGCAGAAATGGGTAAATAAAACTATTAAATACGCGAACCAGTTGAACGGAAGCTTACATCCATGCGAGAACGGCACTAATTCTAGCTTAGAGAGCTGCCCCGGTTGAGCCTCTTCCGACTTGTGCTTCGAACCGCCAGGGACATCGCCACTGTCGCTCTTTGAAAGATCTTGGACTTGTGTACGGTTTGAATCGGACGTGCCTGGTCTTTTGGATTGGAGTGCCATCGCCTTGGAAATTGTCACTATTTGTCAAGCTCTAGCTCTGCTTCTAAGCGTAGCCACTGCTGACGATGCGAGAATGGAGGCGATGAAAGAAAGTGCTGGTGGTTGCACGGTAGGAAAGCTGACGCCAGAACGCAGCCTGAGTGCTCAACGAGACAAAGAAGAGCGGATGAGCAGGCTAGTGAAAAGAAGGGAGCTGAGCAGGCCCCAGAGGAATAAAAACAACGACAAGAATGATATGTGATGTCACCTATATTAATACAATCTAATCACTTGACATGGATTTAGATGAAGCAAGGCATGCCGAGACCGGCATGGCCATGTTCCAGTAGTGGCGGTTGCTCCCGGGACTGGTTTATCGAGTTGACAGACCGATCGCACTCGGGCTTTTTGATGCACAGAGCCTGCATACGCACTAAGCCAAGAATCCTCAGGTTGTTGCCGAGTGTTGTACTGGAACCGAGGGCGAGCAAGCCGATTAATCGAATCTGGCGCGTGAATCAAGAACCCCAGTTTAAGGGTTTATGTAAGCGTCACCGATTCGACAATGGTTCGTGGCAGCTCTTTCTTTTCCTTTAATTCTACTTTACAGGTTTTACCTTGGGGTTGGGTTCGATCCGTAGCGGTATTGTAGCAGACTCGTACCCAGTCGTCGTCGCTCCGTGGACGCGCACTGCGCACACGCAATTTCAAGTTGGGTTTATATTAAAAGTCACAGTCACCTTTACATGATGCATGAGTAGTCATCTTTTGTATTGAATACTTAAAGTCACATGTGCCGGAAATAGAGTTAAACCCGATCACCTACTCCGAAAACAAGCGCGCGACACTTCGCTCCAACGACTGGCACAAAAGTTGGGTGGCGGTGTTTTTCGGCAGCATCCGGGACTGAATTGTTGAGTCCACACAACTTGTGCGCAACAGATTGGGTTGTAGTCCGGTGCATTTTTAGTGTCAACTCACATAAGATTTGTACCCGACCCACCCCAAAGGGTATGAAGGGCTGCGGAGTCAATAACCTGAGCATGCAGAGAATTTAAGCCTTATATATTACTTTGAGAACATTACTGTGTTGATGTGAGTTAGTGCAGATGGTATAGCGTTCGCTGAGGCTATGCAGTTTTTTTGCTTGCTTGGGTTCGACTCCCACTTGGTAACTTCCTTTTTTTCATGCATCACCCCTTTCATACATGCGACAAATTTCCGTATATCACCAAGAAGTGAGGAATGAATGAAAAAAGGAAGTTACCAAGTGGGAGTCGAACCCGAGCAAGCAAAAAAAGTGCATAGCCTCAGTGAACGCTATACCATCTGCACTAACTTGCATCAACACAGTAATGTTCTCAAAGTAATATATAAGGCTTAAATTCTCTGCATGTTCAGGTTATTGACTCCACAGCCCTTCATACCCTTTGGGGTGGGTCGGGTACAAATCTTATGTGAGTTGACACTAAAAATGCACCGGACTACAACCCAATCTGTTGCGCACAAGTTGTGTGGACTCAACAATTCAGTCCCGGATGCTGCTGAAAAACACCGCCACCCAACTTTTTTTTTTTTTTTTTGGTGGAACCTTCAGTAGCTTTTGCGGGCAGGATGCCTGAAGGTTTGTAGGGAAGGGCGGGGCCTTCCAGAGGGCAGTGATGATGGGTGCCTCTGTATGACAGGAATTGCCACCACAGGGAAATGCGTTTCCGCACTTGGCGAAGTGGTTATCGCTCTGTGTGGGGCTCCCGTGACTGCAGGGGGTCCGGTATACCCACTAAAACCCCATTGCACTTCAGCCAATTCTCAGGGAGGCTTAGTTCGTTCTCTAGGGTGCCGCACCAAGTGTGTAGAACGAGTTTGGGGAGGGCTCTGTTGCGGTATTTCTTTATATTCGTGAGGTTCCTGTCCTGATTTAGTTTTTCGTTTATGGCGGCTTTATAGGTGTTCATGGCTTCGTTCAGTGAGATCTTTGGTTGTCCAGTCTCATCGTCGCTGAGGACTCTCTTGCATCTCAGTTTCCATATTTGCCAGGCGCATTCGGTGATGGCGATTCTGAGGAATCTGGACGCGCCGTGGTTTATAGTGCCGTTACGATTTTTGATAACAGTTAGTGGGGCAGCCATTATGTGGTATATTCCCATATTAACGGGCCAGTCTATACCTTTTATTAGGCTCATGATTTTTATGGCAGCCCAGAGTTTTGGGCCCTGGTTGTGTGGGCACTCGAAGATAATGTGGTTCATCGATTCTAGGGCATTACACTTAACGCATTGACCTCTGTCTTCGTAGCCCGGGATTTTGCTCCAGTAGGTGCCGTCTTTGTGGGCTCCATGGACAAGTTTCCACAGGAAGTTTCTGAGGTTGGGGTTCAGATCTTTCTTGTTTTTCAGGATGGCGAGCCAAATGAGGTTGTTGTTGGGGGTGGGGCAGTTTAGGTCTCTCAGTACGTCTCTGATATGGTTCATGTTTTCTGTTGCTCTGTGGTTCTTTTTGTGGGGTTTCTTGGCTGACTCTCGGGTTATTAGTTTCATGATAGTCGATTGGGTCAGGGTTCTTAGTCTTGCGCCGTTCTGGGTGAGGGGGAGGTTGGGGGTGACTGAGCCATTGTCGGGGGTTTTCATGGATCCCAGTGTTGCAAGTTCATCGGCATTCTCATTTCCAGCACAGCCGTTATGGCCTTTTATCCACTCGATCGAGACGATGCCATTCCTCGTTCGGAGGGAGTTTATGGTATTTTTGATGGCTAGGGGTTGGGGAGTGCTGATGTAGTCTTGGTCCTCGGCTTTTTCAAGGTTTACGGTTAGTGCGTTCACGCACCATCTTGAGTCGGTTTTGATGTGGAGTCTGGCTCTTAGGGGTGTTGTGGTAATTGCGTGGTTTATTGCCAGTACCTCAGCGGAGTTGTTTGTCTGGGGGAAGACCCGATCTACTGGGAGGCTTGCATTGTCTGGGCACTTGGGGGCGATTGTCAGGGCAATAGCCCTGAACCCCGAGTCACATGTAAATTAGATACACATAGTCATGTGGGAAAGCGGGAACCTCCGGGTAACCGCTTACACACCACCGTAAAATACACTATCTTGTATCACTTACGGCCTTGTGTGCTGAGCAACCCTAAGACCTCACACTTTTTTAAGTGCTTGAGGTGTGTTTTACAACACAACCCACATCTCTATAATCTTAACATCTGACTCGGAAGCGCCTATGGTGCCTAAACACGCCCGCAAGGGCAAGGTCGCATCTGCAGCGACGTTAAAAAGAAACAAGCGGTTTATTAAGAAACCGCAATCTCCCATCATGGGAGATTCAAACCAAAAGCCGTCGTCAGACGACGACGAGGATCAACATGATCCGGCATTAGCAACCACTTCAGGGCTGGTCCCTGAAGGTTTTAGAAACTTACGTGGAGTAAGTGCGGGGCAAAATACCCCCAGAACTCCACAACAAACCGATCTAACCCAAGCTGGGGAAGATCCCTCACCTCCTCACGAGGTGATCGACTTGCACGGAAAATGCGTAAGCGCCGAACGATCAGCCCAAAAAGCTGATCGGATAGAGTTGCAGGAAACCCCAGGGCCCCACTATCCCCTGGAGTCCCCCCTCACGTCCCCAAGTCAAGCCCCAAAGGCAGACAAAGGGAAACAAAGGGAAGAGCCCCTGCATTGGCTATCCGAAAAACTACTGGACTTGTTCCAGGTTCCGTCCGAATGGAGGACGGAAAATGAAGATCAACTTCTCCTCAGGCTGAAAGCCCGAGAAGGCGCGAAAATACGCCCTGAGAGCAGGATCTCCCAGAGCGTGGAAGCTCCAAAAGAACTTCCGCTGTTTACACTCCCACACACCATGCCAGACAAGGCAAGGTCGCCAACTTCGGAGGAGGTCTCCGAGATAATGAAGAGGAGGCGAACTGAAATGAGGGAGTTCGCTGAGGAAGCCTTACGTAAAAGTAAGGAGAAACCAGTGAACAGACCCCTCTATGAAAGGGAAGCACCCTCCGCAACGGCCTCGCCTAAACAAAGTGAGCGTGGAGTGTTCACTCCAAGAACCCATTCTGGAACCCCCAGAAGCGGAAATGTCAACTGGGGAGAGTCGCTGCTCGCCCAACCAAACTTCCTCCTGGAAAACCAGGAATCGCGCATAATAAACGCGATAAACTCGATCCAAAAAAAGATCGAGGAAACGAACCATAATAGCACAGCTCGTCTAGAGATAACTCTAGAAAGAATGGCCAACGCAATCGATGCGTTGACTGAAAAAATCAGCGAACAAACAGATTTGCTGAAGGAAATAAATTTCTCACAAAAAAGTGAGGAAACAAATAAACACCCCTGGACCACGGTCCAGGACATAAATAGAACTCGTGAAAAATTCACGAAAAGAACTACCAGCGAAAGCACACTGGAATATCATCAGCGACTCAACAGAGACGCTAAGGAGATCCTTCTCCCAAGGATAGGAGAAGACGATGCCGAAAGAAGGCATCGTTCAGAAATCAGAAGGAGAATTGGCACATACCAAAGGTTCGGCCAAATGTCCACTTATGACGGACCTCTCGAACAGAGAGGTAACTCATTCACACCCTCTCAAAACAATGAGAGAATACAAATACAACTTCAGGCGAATACGCCTGAAACCAAAGAAACGCTGCGAGGAAGATTTCCCCCAGCAAAAACCCCCCCAAAGGAGAGATCTCCATTGGATAGCGACCCCGCAAAGGCAGGGGAGCAAGAAGAGTACCTGGAGAAATGGTACGAAAAGGCCATAAGAATGGCCGAAGTGAGAATACTCACTCCCTACCCAGAAGGAGTGAAACCAGAAGCCCTAAAGAATGGGCCGGCATTCCCTGACAAGAAATGGTCAGGGGAGAACGACATGGAATCGTTCTGGCAGTGGTTCACAGAACTACTGGGATTCCTTGCCTTGTGAGGATGCAAAGGTCCCCAATTTGACGAAGTCCACCTGGACTGCTTGATTCGTGGATTAGGGGGGCCCGCGTTTGACCTCGGAATTAGACT